CCTCTGTCCTCCACTACCTCCCGCAATTTAGTCAAACTCATGCTGGTAACCTCGAAAACACTATCCAACCATCTCGTCCTCTGTCGCCCCCTTCTCCTTGTGCCCTCCATCTTTCCCAGCATCAGTGTCTTCTCCAGGGAGTCTTCTCTTCTCATGAGGTGGCCAAAGTACTGGAGCCTCAGCTTCACGATCCAAGGCAGACCTTTTAACATCACAGTAATCCAAGTTTATGCACCAACTACTGGTGCTGAAGAAACTGAAATCGACCAATTCTATGAAGACTTACAACACCTTATAGAAGTGACACCAAAGAAGGATGTTCTTCTCATTATAGGGGATTGGAATGCTAAAGTAGGGTGCTGAACTATAAAACAGCCTTAAGCAGACTAAGGAAACCGTAAATGGCATATGCAGTCGAATGTGAATTGCTTATTTCCCCCAGCAGTTATGATCTCCAAGTTTAAAAGTCAAAGTGTCCAAGAAGTATTTTTTTTTTTATAAAAGTGAGCTGGGATAGTTCGGTTGGTAAAGCATGAGATTCTTAATCCCAGGGTTGTGGGTTTGATCCCCCACATTGGGCAAAAAAATTCATAGTCCTTCCAACTTTATAATTCTATAAATCCTTCAAAGTTCTATTTCTATTTGAAAGTTCTATTTCAAAATGAACTTAATCCACATTCAGTTCGCTTGACAATTATGGGAACGACTTTTGAGGTTAGTTCAGAGATTGTTTTTCTGTTTTTCTGCATGCTTACACACAAAGGCACTAGCTGTGTTTACTCTGCTACACATCCGGGAAAGCTGAGCGGCAGCCAAAATATGCTGGACCTAATTACACCACAATTTTAACTGATTTGTGGTTTTTCTAATAAAAAAAAATTATTTTCAATGCAAAATTACAGCAAAAATTACAAACATTGAATCCCAAAATAAAACAGTACAAACAAGAAAAAAAACACATGAGAAAAAAGAACACAAAAAACAAAAACACACATCTACAAATAAAATCATATCATCATTCTAATCTAGTCATTAAATACATATACACATATTGACTTCCTTCCTTTGTTCTATGACCTAGAAATTTTTACTCTTTCTAAGTTGTTGTGTCTAATGTAGATTACCTCTGTCTTTATACTTTTTACACCATTTTCCTCTTTCTTTAACCCTGCAAAGCATCATTCATTACATACCGATAAATTTGAACTAATTTGATGGCCTTAATTAAACCTAACTAGCCCATTCCAGGTCCTTTACATACAGTTGCCAACTTTTGTGCTGGACGCTGCAGCTGATCAACATCATCATCAGCCTTGTTCTCAGGCATCACTTGTAAGAGTAACCAATTTGCAACAGTGCCTTCCTTATTTATGTGAGAATGGAAGAGACTACTCACAGTGCAAATGAACACTCAACTTGCCTTCCCCAATGCAAAAGAACAACAAAGAGGTGATTTCAGGAACTTTCCTTCATTTAGGAGCAACAAGGCATTTAGACTTGCTATACAGAATTGACCAACGCACCTAACCAGTGCTAACTGGATTGGGAAGGAAACCACATCCATTCAAATCAGAAGGGAACTGCCATTAGGGATTGAGGAGAAATCTGAATTACGTTCACATTTAAAGGCAACTCTACCCAATAAATAAAAATAATACCTAATTGACAGTCTCCAAAATAATACACAAACTGAAATGCAACCATCCTTCAAAATTGACACTACTCCAAATTTTGCAATGCAGTTCTCCAGCTAAGTAATTTTTACCAACATGCACATACTGGGGCAAAATGAGAATATAAATGCATACATTAGTGGAAAGAACATACAAAAATGTGTTGCATTCGGGAAGACTGCCTGGTGTTATTAGGAGAATCTACCGAAGAATTTCAATGAGGTGTTTTTTCCCCATTTAAAAAAATCACAAAGTTTTATGGAAATGTGAAAAACTAAAGTTAATACAGGAAATATATTCCACCATCAGCTGTGGTTATAATCTAGGCAAGCCTCTTAAAGAGATAGGTCACACATGTTTCAGAGTAGGTCCTTTGTCTCATTGCAAACGAGACAAAAACACAACAAAACTTACACAGCTGCATTCATTTGAGATGATCTCAACCATGGAATGTTACACAGAGAAGCAAGGGGGTAAACTCAAAGTAAACTGGCAATTCAGTAAAGGCACCTAGCACTCCACTCTCAGATATATTAATCCCTTGGAGACTTTCCTATCTGAACACAGTGAATTTTAATTAAAGGGTTTTGCCTATTCCAACAATGCATACTTCAATATCACCATAAGAAGAGTCCTGCTGGATCGGCCCAAAGTCCCATCATACTTCAGCATCCTGTTCTCACAGTGGTGAACCAGATTCACTGTGGGAAGCCTGTGCAGCAGTGCTCTCCCCACCAGCAATTGGGTTACAGAGGCCTTCTGTGGTGTGGAGAGCCAGTGTGGTGTAGTGGTTAAGAGCGGTAGACTCGTAATCTGGTGAACCGGGTTCGCTTCCCTGATCCTCCACATATAGCTGCTGGGTGACCTTGGGCCAGTCACACTTCTTTGAAGTCTCTCAGTCTCACTCACCTCACAGAGTGTTTGTTGTGGGGGAGGAAGGGAAAGGAGATTGTTAGCTGTTTTGAGACTCCTTTGGGTAGTGATAAAGCGGGGTATCAAATCCAAACTCCTCCTCCTCCTCCTCTTCTTCTGCTTGTATCATATAACCACTGTGGTTGGTAGCCAAAGATGACTTTGGCTATCCTTAGGGTGGAAGGCTACATAACCTTATTTCTTCATATAATACTGCCATTAGAGACAAAAGAGTAGGCCAGACTATATTTTCTCTTTGTTAATTGGCTCCTGTAGCAACAAATTATATGTTAGGTAAGTTTTGTTCCTGTGAATTTACATTCAGGTTTGTTGTTGTTGTTGTAAATAAATTACCAGAGTAGATGCCACCCCAATACTGTTCAGGATCCTGATGTGTGTGTTGTGATCCAGATCAGGTCCCTGGCACTTGGAATTTGCATTGGATTGGGGCCATAGCAGGAGCCAAATGGTTAAAGACCACACCCACCCCACATTAGGGGCCTGATCTAAATCCAGACTCTTTGGGTGGAATTTAATGTATGTTCTTGTCTGAAGAAGCATTTCAGCTTTTCCAAATGGAATGATCCCCCCTCCCTTCCACGCTGTTCAAAGAGATCCCCTGCCTACCCCCAAAGCCAATTTTGAGATGCATGGAGTGTGTTGGGGGGGGGAGGGGGTGATGTAAAAGTTGAGGAAGCCCCATTGCACAAGTAGAAGTCTTTGTGCAGCCCTTCTGCTGATGGATCTCATTAGGTAAATCCTGCCCCCCGTGTTGGAAATTTGGGTAGAAAAATAGCACAATTATCCTGAGAATTGCAGCTATGCAATTTGGCCCTGCCATCAGCCACATGCAGAACGTTCTGCATTCTGCAGGTGTTCCTAAGCTATTAAGCAATTAAAGAAGTCACTCTCTTTTCATGCTATCCCAAACCATCTGCAAGAGATGACAGTTGTCTCACCCTGTCTAATGATAGGCAGGCCCTGTTAAATACATAGAATCATAGAATCATAGAGTTGGAATAGACCACAAGGGCCATCGAGTCCAACCCCCTGCCAAGCAGGAAATACCATCAGAGCACTCCTGACATATGGTTGTCAAGCCTCTGCTTGGACTCTTTACGCAACGGTAGGCCAGGCTATGTTGTCTGTTGACTACCTTAAGAGTAACCACTGCTAAGCCATTAGAGGCTGAAAGTTCTGCAGGTGTTTCCATTAGAGGCCGTTAAGTGTTTACAGGGTTAGGTCCTAATTAAGAGACCACTGTCTTCTTTACGTAGCTCAATACCTTATTCCTGAGTTTGCTGCACATCAGTGAACTATTTTATAAAACTTGATCAAAAAATGGCTTCTTCAAGAAAAATTTATATCCCAGGTCATTTGCAATCGGAGACCTAGGCCACTGATTGAAATACCTGGAGATGTTGACCTCTCTGCAAAGGGCCCTCCCACATTCCTGCCGACACCCTCTTATTCTTCAGGAGATAACATGCTCCATTCTCTTTGGTTCCTTGAACTGTCAGTGTGATGGCTTCCTTCCCCACCTGATATATAAATCAGCTGAAGAGGCTTGTGGGAGCCATTACAGAAGTGCTTAGCTAAGTAAGGGGCTTGTGTGGGTTAGTTAGAGAACATCTTTGGACTTTAGCTGCAAAAAAATGTAAGTTTGGTTATGTTTTTCTGATTTGCCTGTTGTGTTGCTGACAAAGGTGTGGATATGTATTTGTCCTACTTATGATGCTGTCTACTATGAAGTGAGCTGAGAAGGGCTTTGGAGTTCTTAAGACTGGGGTAGCTTGTCTATCTCCCTTTTTGAATGCTTATAGGTTTCTTTTTATTGGCTACTTCATAAATTTTGGGTTCTCATTTTTCTCTCTCCCTTATTTCTGGAAGGCCTGTAATTTGGGGGCTTGTTCACCCAGCTTTCTCCTCTTAGGGTAAGTCTCTGCAAGTCCTTCCAATATCTCTTCTCTGCTCCTTTTTTATCGTGGAGTGAAATAATGGCTAATGCAGAACTGTGCTGTGCCTTTTTAAAAAGACCTTTTAAAAATATGTATCACACACACACACACAACCCCTCTCATTGACTAACAATAAAGCAGGACTGCATCTCTAAGCTGGGGAAGAGCTGCACCTGTTGAAATGCTACCTGCTGGGTTGCTGTTCAAAGCTTTTCCTGTTGGGAGTGAAAGTGGGCAAAATATTAATGAGGAAAGGGAGAGGACCAAAGGTATACATCTATTTAGATTCAGCCACTGACTGGGAGAAGGTGGGATATATTTTTGGGGTTTGTTTGAGATGTGGGGTTGGAATAGCTACAAACTTTCATGAAAGACGGTGCTGCAAAGTAATAATGTTTCTGCCAGTAGGTGGCGCCAATGGGGCCTTGTCTTCAGGCCTTGCATCATTATTAAACTCCAGAAGACGCTGTTGGAAGCCTTGCTTGGCTTTTGGGACTCTGAAGCACTTCCCTGTCTGAGTGCCAAGCCAAGCTAGAACAAAGGGAATAAACTGCCTTTCTCATAAAGGCTTTGGGATGAACTCCTGGCTTGTGTTAGGAAGTCTTTTTGTGTGAAACGGGCACAAATGGAGTTATATTTCTGGTCTTCCAGGTCAGACCACACAATGACTTCTAAAAGCCAAGAAAGCATTCCAGCTCCTGAGACTAAAGAAGTAGTACAGCAGGTATGTTTCTCCTATCAGGTCTTACTATCTGTTATGTACACACACACACACACACACACACACACACACTGCCTCAAACTTTTGGTTAGCAGGCAGGGTATAAAACTCCAAAATAAAATTTCTTGTTGCCATTTGGTGCTCCGGGGCTCTGGTGTCCTGGGGCTCTGGCACAGCTCCCCTCCACGCCTGGACTCTTTAGCCAAAAAGCTCCAACCTGAATCCCCGGCATTTCCAGCCATCCTATACAAAGCATTTAGCTGACAAAATATGCCTGCCTGATGCCCCAGAGAGCTACTGCTAGGACAACATTGGTTTGGACAGACTATTGTCCCGACTCTCTATAAGCAACCAAAGAAGTTTGTGTCCTGAAGTACAAAACACGTGCTCTCATATTGAGCTACGGCAGCGTTGAATGTCTTAACAATTGAAAAAAATAGGCAAGGTAACTTGAAACTTGGTGCATAGATTAATCCTAACGTAGCACTGTTAGATTTTTAAAGTTTTTAACTTGAAACTTGGTGCATAGATTAATCCTAACGTAGCACTGTTAGATTTTTAAAGTTTGGAATTTAGTCCATCTTGACACTAACTTTACTGTGATGTGTCTAGTTAGGTACAGGCCATTGGTAGAACGAATGTCTAGAATATTACAGGCCACTGAGATACTTTACTCTTACCACACCTCTAGGATGTCCTCAAGAGAGCTACCAGTCTGCCTCTGGTAAGCTCCACCTATGATTTGGCTGCCTCTGCTTATGCCTCAACCAAAGAGAACCATCCCTATGTGAAAGTTGTTCTGGATTTGGCTGAGAAAGGTGTGAAGCATGTCTCTGATATTGCTGTGAGCGGTGCCCAGCCTCTTCTCAGTAAGCTTGAACCACAGGGTGAGTAGGCTGCATTGGAAATGTTCCGATCTTTTTCTTTTTAAATACCTTATTCCATCATACGTACAAAATTAAACACAAATGAAAACCAGTGTAAAAAAGCATAAAAATATCAGAGATGACAAAGGGACCTATTTATCCATTCTTTGTCAAGAAAATTGGAGGCACCTATTACTAGAAACAGTAAAATGTCTATTTTCCCCACACTGGCAGTGCCAAAGAGCCCTGGAGGTTAGTTGTTGTGTTGGTATAAATGTCCCACCACACAGTATAATAATGTTCTGGATCTTCTAAGCTTCTGGAAATTTATATAGTGTGGGTTATCTTTCCTGTGATTGTGAAGTTCCATACGTTTTTATACCACAGATAAATTATTCCATTTTTGTGTGCCATGCATAGCCTAGCTGCTGCCAGCAGCCATAGTACAAATTCTTTAGATCGCAATCTTTGAAGATGACCATCCCATATATATGTGATGCCACCTATGTGAAATGCTCTGTTCTCAATGTCCTCATTAGTATGTGGTGCTAGATTAAACAATGACAAGTGTGTAGGCTACAGTAGTTTCCTCTTCCACAATTCATGTGTGCACCACAACTAAAGGAATCCTCTCTGTAGTTGCAGCAGCAAGCCACTATGCCTCCAAGGGCTTGGACAAGCTAGAGGAGAAGCTCCCCATCCTTCATCAGACAGCTGACCAGGTAGATTGCAACCTGCTCACTATCTTTTCTTATGTCCCAAGCATTTATTTAATTCTCCTGTTGGAATATTGCTCTTCATGCGTTCCTGAACTTTGGGGAACAAATTCACAGCAACTTGGATAAGAGGTTGCTTGCCTAGTCACAACAATTCTGGTGGGTGGTCATGGCAGTAAAATGTAATGTGTGGCAGGGGGTGATGAATAAAGCTGCTTGTTTGATGATCTGGCTTTAGGTTATTTCTGATACGCAAGAACTGGTGTCATCAAAAGTAGCAGATGCAAAAGAAGCAGTAGCCAAGGCTGTGCAGGATGGCAAAGAGATGGTGGTAGAAACGAGAATGGGCAAGATGGCCCTCAGTGGAGCAGAAGCAGTGCTGGAGAAATCTGAAGAGCTGCTGGACCACTATCTTCCAATGACTGAAGAAGAACTGGGTAAGCAAAGAATAAGCAACCTGATCTATTGTGATCCATGTTATCAGGGCTGTCTTAAGCATATGCGGCATCGGGCTGCAAAGATCCACCCGGCACCCCCCCCCCAGTTGCCCAGTCCCAGGCGCACAGGAGGGCGGAGTCGGCCGGCCGCCTCAGCGTCTCGCTGGCTTGGTTGCCCCCGAACTCGCTGTGCAGAGCTGCCTGCAGCAAAGCCGCCTGCTGCGGTGCTCCAACCACTGGGCGGGCTCTTCCCCAAACTCAACTCTTAGGCCTCAGACTATCGACTTGGCGCCCCTGAGAGCCCGGCGCCCGGGTGCCCCGCACCCCTAGCGCCTATAGGTAAGACGGCCCTGCATGCTATGCTCACAGCTTCTTTGGTGTCTACTTTATCCTTAAGATCAGGAGCCTACTGGGAAACAAACATGTTTATTTGGATAGTCTCCAGGACTCTACTCCAGGTGTGAGCACCTTCTGAAACTAGTAGCGACTAGACATGAGAGGCTGCCCTGGGAGTGGTGCCTGATTTTTGTCGCATTCATCCTAGATGGGTGCAACATCTTTCAAAGGCCTTGCTTTGAGTAAAAAACAACTTCATACTTCATGAATCTTCCTTCTGATTATGGGATTTCGAAAGGTGGTATGCTGTGATCTTTCCTGGGGTGTGTGGGTGTGTGTTTGAAGTTAGCTAGGGCAGAAACCTTTTAAAAAGTAACAATATTTAAATGTGCTCTTTAGCAAAAGTTGCAGAAACTACACCAGAAGGAGTGGGCACACCCCTTGAGACTCGGGGGTACTTTGTGCGTCTTGGTTCTCTGTCAACCAAGATCCAGCGTCGTGCTTATCAGCATGCTGTAGCCAGGATGAAAGCTGCCAGAGAGAACATCAGAGAGACTTTCATTCAGCTGCGTCAAGCCATTGGGCAGGTAGGGTCTTCACTTCTGCAGTGTGTACTCTTTGTTAACCACAGGAAAAAGATGCCTGCTTCCTTTTTAAGCTTCTGTAAATATCTGGGTTCCTTGTTCATGGCATGGGAATCTAAGCATTTGGTCTCCATAGGCTGTTTCTAGAGGGAGGCATGGGGTGGGGCGGGGGGCTTAGGATCATGACACAAATTTGCATATGGAGATTTGTGCCATGGGCCTGTCCCCGTCCGCTTGCCCCAACACCTCAGGCAGTCAACACTGTAGCTGAAAAGGCTCCTGCCCCAACACTCTGCATAGACATTATACACAGAATGTGCCCCAGAATCTTCTGGAAATTTTCAGGGTTTTCTGGGCAGACAAATTTAGTAGTCTTTGCTCATTGGGAAAACTGGAAAACCTGGAGATGGAGCATGATTTGCACAATTTCAAGATGTTGAACTGTTGAGGATATAGCAATGGCTGGTGGCAATTGATCCTCGAGTCACAGGATGCTTTGATCTCTGGGCCACACAGCAGCAAGATGCGAAACTGCAGTATAGCAAATACCCAGCTTTAAGAGCGAGATGACCCTGATTCATAAGAAGTGTGTAAAAGTGTCACATTTAGACAGTCAAAGCAAATTGCTGGCACCAGTTAAATATTGATGGTTGCTTATGAGCACCAGTGGAAAACTAGGAGTGTAATTGTATGGTCGTGTAAAATCAAGTATCATTGTGTGAGGATGAACAATGTTGATACCAACATGGCAAGCTACGAGAGAGGGAAATCTTATTTGCACAAGAAGCTCAACATCTGCATGTACTTGCTTATGAAAACTTGTATCTAATTGAGCGATATCTTGCCCATCTCTCACAATGCACTGGGACCTCATAGGGGTCAGTACTTATCTGACAGGTATGGTAACAAAATGTGTAGCAATTACAAGGTTTGTCTTGGCTTTAGTTTATTCCAAGCTGCTCTGTTGATTTTTTTTTTTGTTTCCTCTCTAGATAGAGGATACAAAGGAAAGTGTTCAGCAGAAACTTCAGGAAAGCCAGGAGAGGCTTCGTCAGGTATGGCTATACTACTGATTTAATGGTGATAGAATCAGAGTTGGGAAGGACCCCATGGATTATCTAGTCCAACCCCCTGCAGTGCAGGAATATGCACCCATACAAACCCGTGACCTTGGCATTATCAGCACCATGTTCTAACCAATGGAGCTAACTGTTGGTGGCTTGACATGGCTTGACCCATGCATGTAGAACCCTGGTTGAGGGATCTGTTGACTTCTTCCTTCTAATTGCAGATAGAATCTCAGACCTTGGCCATGTCCCACCACATCACCCAGCAGCTGCAAGCAGCCTACAAGAACCTGATTGCCAGCATCCAAGGCCTGCCAGCTAACTTCCAGCTGAACATCCAGCTGGCCTACCGCAACATAGAAGAGCTTCATACCTACTTCACCAGTGCTCACTCTTTCAAAGACCTCCCCGACAGCATTCTAAGCCAAAGCCAAGAGAAGGCCCTCAAAGCCCAGGAGTATGTGGATGACATCTTGGACTATGTCTTACACAATGCTCCAATGTCTTGGCTGGTGGGTCCATTCTCCCCTTCACCTCGGAAACCCGATGATGTGAAGCCCACGAAGCCTGAGGATCAGAACAAGGAATTGAAAGCGGCAGTGCCAAAGGAGAGTTTATGACCTGTAGCTCATTCTAGAGGCTGGAATTCTGTGTCTCCGGGCACTGATGGAGCTTGAAAGAGCACTTGAGCCTGCTGTTGAATTTGTTGGAAGAGCTGAAATGAATGTGACTAAGCTAACATGACAGAACTATGGCCCTGGAACTTTTGGTAGGATGGGAGACTTGACCATTACTAGAAAAATCAGTTGCTAACTCCCAGGGGCTTCAGACTCTACAAGTAAAACAAAAACAAAAAACCTGACTTGTATTTATTCATTGGCTGCGAATGAATGTATGGAGCTGATAGTCTCTGCAACCTGGCTTTGAAATATGATTGGAATAAATTGTTGCACTCGGTTACTTGTCTGTGTGAAGTCTTAAGCAGTAACTCAGCCTAAGCATGTTTCATCTGATGGTGGAAGCACTCCATGATACTTTCCCAGAACAAACAAGCATAATTTATGTTAAAAGGTTGCCTAGATGATGGGTTCACCATGCTGGGAAGCAGAATTGCGGCATGAAGTGATGCGGAAAAAGGGAACTCAAACTCTGCATGCAAAAGGTTCCATGTTTCCCCTGGCAAGGTCCTAGGTTCAGTCTTTGGCTTTGGTAATGTTCCTGCCAGAAGATTGGCCTTTGGACTGACCCAGCAGGGTTTTGACCACTCCAGCATCAGAAGCAGTCTTTCTGAATACCATCTGCTGGGGTGCTATTGTGCTCCATCTTGCTTGGGGGCTTCCCGGAGGCAGCTGACTGCTGAGGACAAAATGCTGGAGACCAACCTTTGGTCTCATCGAGCAGAATGCCTGCCGCAAAACAAAGCACACTGACTTTACCATGGGGGTGGGCCTTCTTAAAACAACTAATGACCTAATTATAAAGTTGGAGGGCAAATTCAAAAACCCAACCAAAAAGCGTCACCCCTCTAGCTGTGCAAGGTTCTTAGCCATAAAGAAACAGGGTGAGAATTGCAGAAGGAACTTGAGTGAAGGCCAGTCATGGTAGATGTACTGAGTTTGGGTAACAAAGTATTAATCTGACCATCTAACATGAGCTCTAGTTGCTGCATCTTGGCCTCAGTAGTCTTTACCTGGCCTGCTTATGAGGCAAGACCTTCAAGATGGCGAGGTCTTTTCAAACTGAGGTGTGCATCAATGACAAGATTTCATTTGGACCCTCCCTATGAAGAAGACTATGTTCCTTTCTGAACCAAATTGGAGAGCGTATGAAATGCTTCAGATTCCAATTCTGAATCCTGTTTTGGGGAAATGAAGCTTCATGTCCCTCATACCTGGAATCTTGGAAGAGAGATAACAAAGGTTTTTGGTGACCCGTTTCCTGTCAAGGTGGGAAGTGATGACCCAGACTAAGCCTGGCAGGACAGCTTACTCTCTGGTATACCACCTTCATGCATTAATTGGATTCATGTTTGCAGGATATTATTTCTCTGGATGTCAGTGACATTAAATAGGCCTATTTGTGTGTACACGCTGGGCACTATTCAAATCTGATGCCCTCCCCTTTTCCTCACAGGATGAAATTTTCAGGCAAGGTATAGCCCCTTCTGAGAGAGTGAGAATTTCTGGACATAAGCTGCAGAGGTTTTTTTCTGCAAGGAAATCCTTTACAATAATGTGTGTGTGTGTGTGTTAAAAAGAATTTACTTAATCTGTTTTATATGCAATGCGAATGAATATTGCATGTATAAGAGAAGGAAACCCCTGAGTAAGAAACCTGTCAAATTGCAGCAAAAATGCCTTGAGGCCTTTGTGCTAAGTAGCTTTTAAATTTACCTTTTTGCGGGAGGGGATGAAAATGGGATTTTCTTCCTTCATGGTGGTTTTTGTGGGTGACTATTCTACAAATGGCATACAGCCATATATCATAGAAGTGCCCCTAGCAAGGTAACCTGCAAAATTTCAGAAGGCTAGAGATACAGGATATGAGTGTATCATTTGTTTAAAGGGTTTTGCTCCCTGTGGATCCAGTATAATCTATCAGGACGTGAAATTCAATGACAGGCCTATGTCCCCCAGTGTTTACTTTTCCTGTACTCTCCCCACCTTATCCACAGAGCCATCTCTTGAGAGTAGCATGCATCTCATGCAAGAAAATTATTCACAATTAGAAACAGCATGCTAAAAAGACATCTGGCCTCAGACGCATCCGCCCCCAGGATGGTTATGACAGACAAAAGGCATAGATAGAGAAGATGGGGGAAATGTGAGTCACACTGTCAGACAAATTATAATGAGCTGAGAAAACTCTTCTCACAAAATACTATAGCTGGTCACAATGTTATCTGTAGTAAGTTCCCAGGCTGTTTTGGAGAAGCTTCGGGATCTTCAGAAGGTGGTCAGTGTTTCTAACAGAGAAGTTTTATTTATTTCATTTATACTGATATCCTACCTTTCTTACAAGGAGTTCCTTGGTTCTTCTCCTGTCGCCTCCAACAGTCTTGTGAGATAGACCAGGATGAGAGCGAGTGGCTGGCCCAAGACCACTCAGTGAGCTTAATGCCTGGGTTGCCTTAGTTGTAGTCCAATAGTCAAATGACAATGGCTGTCAATATTACTAATGGTAACTAAGCTTTCTTGAAAGAGTGCCTGATACTAGGTGAGTCCAATGGCCTGGCTTATGTATGATTGGTAGCCTGATACAGTGGTACCCCGCAAGACGAACGCCTCGCAAGACGGAAAACCCGCTAGACGAAAGGGTTTTCCGTTTTGGAGGCGCTTCGCAAAACGAATTTCCCTATGGGCTTGCTTCGCAAGACGAAAGCCCATAGGGAAATCTCCAGGGACCTCTTTTAAATGCTAGCGGTGGGGAGCAAAGCCTTTCCCCCCCCCTCCGGCCTTCAGAAGAGGTCCAGGAAGGCTGGCGGGGGCCGAAAGGCTTTGCTCCCCAGCGCCAGCATTTTAAAAGCAGTCCGGGATAGCAGGGAAGCGCTTCCCGCTATCCCGGACGGCTTTTGAAGGCAGGAGAGATCCGCGAAGCCTGGGCGCGCTGATGTCAGCGCGCGCAGGCTTCGGCATGCCGGCAACTCTCCCCAAGCAGCGGGAACGTTCCCGCTGCTTGTGGAGAGATCCGCGAAGCCTGGACGCGCTGAGATCAGTGCGCGCAGGCTTCGGGATGCCGGCAACTCTCCCCAAGCAGCGGGAACGTTCCCGCTGCTTGTGGAGAGATCCGCGAAGCCTGGACGCACTGATGTCAGCGCGCGCAGGCTTCGGGATGCCGGCAACTCTCCCCAAGCAGCGGGAACGTTCCCGCTGCTTGTGGAGAGATCCGCGAAGCCTGGACGCGCTGATGTCAGCGCGCGCAGGCTTCGGGATGCCGGCAACTCTCCCCAAGCAGCGGGAACGTTCCCGCTGCTTGTGGAGAGATCCGCGAAGCCTGGACGCGCTGAGATCAGTGCGCGCAGGCTTCGGGATGCCGGCAACTCTCCCCAGCAGCGGCAGCGCTGCCGCTGCTGGCGGAGAGGTCCGCGAAGCCTTGGCCGGACAGCTTTTGAAGGCAGGCGGGGGGGGAGAGCAAAGACTTTTGCCCCCGCCAGCCTTCAGAAGAGGTCCAGGACCTCTTCTGAAGGCTGGCGGGGGGCAAAAGTCTTTGTCCCCCCTGCCTGCCTTCCCAGGGGCTTTTAAATCGCCCCGGACAGCGGAGAAGTCCTCCGCTGTCCCGGGGTTTTTTAAAATGCTGGGGGTGGGAAGAAAAGCCCTTGTCCCCCCCCCCAGCCTTCAGAAGAGGTCGGGGGACAGACTGTCCCCGGACCTGGTCTGAAGTCGGTTTCCCTAGGAACGCATTAATTGATTTTCAATGCATTCCTATGGGAAACCGTGCATTGCAAGACGAAAAACTCGCAAGAAGAAAAAACTTGCGGAACGAATTAATTTCGTCTTGCGAGGCACCACTGTACCTGGTGTTGCTTGGAATTCTAAGAAACAAAAACATCAGTTTTGAAAGGTAGTCTGCCATCTTGATTCAAAACGGTGGCCAGCTGGGGCCAAACCTAGAGGAAAACCTCTTCCTTGATCTTGGAAACCTCTTCATTACACAAATGTATATATTAAGAGAAACTGGCATTAAAGTGCTGACAATTTTCCCAAAGGACTTCGCTTGCCATTAAAAACATGTGGAACTGTGGAGAGCAGAACTTAAGAATGGGAAAATGTGACACCCAAACTGACAGATTTACTCATCCCCAGGCACACATAGTTCTGTTAGCCAACAGAGGGAAGCTTGTCTGTTAGGGCTCAGGGAGAGCAACTGTAGGGGCTACATCTTCTCCCTGAGGTGACGGGCTCACTAAGACTAATGGTAAGGTCAGCACTCCTTGCAGCAGCCTTTCACTTGCTCACTTTGCACCAGGATTTGGGGCCAGTGGAGAGAGATGGAGAAGAGGGGCTGCTGTTGGGAAAAGGAGTAGAACCCCCACACCTTAGATGGCTCAGGTCTCCCCTGGAGGCAAACTGGTCATGGTTTGATAGTCCAGCCATCAGGATGAGGCCTTGGTAGCTGCCCACACTCTCCTTGTTTTTGTCCTTTGCAAGCTAGCCAATGCAGGCAGAAATTCAATAGGTGCGTGTCATGAACTGCCTCCACAAGGAAAGTTATCTTTGCCTCTCTTGTCTCAAAAGTCCCTGGGGTTTTGATTTGACAGGTGACAAATCTATCTACACTCTTCCCCAAAGAGTCTCGCTGAAGATCACAGAAATCTTGTTTATTTCCTCAAGATGCAGTTCTGGATGTTCTGAACTTGCTTATTAGAAGAACCTTTCCCCAACCGCACGAAAGCTAAACAGATTTGAGGAAATGTAACCCAGCCAGCTGCGGGTTGCTGCTGCTTATCCAATACTAAATGAAATAGCTTTCAAAATACATCTACATCTTGATATTGGAAACGGCACTTTCTTGGCAAGAAGAGCTGCTCCGGGGAGGCAATGTGACAGGAATGTCTCTCCCAATGTGCTTATGTCAGCAATTTGCCAAACTGTGTGCCAGTTTGCAATAGTAGGCCGCAGCCCAACTATTAGTAGACCATAAGAAATCGTTAAATGTTCCTGTGAGCCGAAAACACCTACTCGCACAGGGGCCTTGCCTGCTGTGCTGCTCTGTGTGATGATGGATGGCTCTGTTCTGTTTCTCTGCCCATAAATGTAATAAATCAGGAACTGTGTTGCACAAGGCGTGATTGTGATGGAGAAACAATGTTCTTGTTTTCATTTAGCACCTCTGTGTATATTGCAGGGATGGGGAATTTGTGGCCCACCAGATGACTCCAG